GACAAGATCAAAAGGCACATTAGGGAAAACATAGAAGTTCAGGCGCTGCCTGACCTTCTCCTGCTTGTCAAAGATAACCGGTAGGTTCTTGACAGCAGTAGTAATCCGGACTGTGTAAGAGTCCCCAATACGGACTTCCAATGGCTGTTGTAACTTCACCAATCTCCCATCCAGATGGAACTTGCTGACAGCCTTGGGAGAGATGAAGTTTCGCGTGGCCCCACAGTCTAGTAAGCCTTTGATCCTGGCTCCCAGGATGGAGGGTCGCAGCAAGATGAGGTCTGATTTATGCTTCTTCTTTTCCTGCAAAGACAGGAAAAGCTCAGCAAAATTCTGACAGTCATCTTCCTACCACGTCTCATCTAGGTCAAAGTCCATGTAAGTGAAGGATCCTGACTCAGCAACTCTTAACAGAGTCAGTGAGGGAAGATGCAGATTCAGACTCGTCAGAATCTGAATCAGCACAAGTGGAGGGAGCTGCTAACTTCACTTCCCTCTGCTGGTCTAGTTTTTTGAACTAGAACTATGTTTGCGAGGCATATGGGGACAGTCTTTTAGAAAGTGCCCCCCCTCGCAACGAAAACAAACCTCGCGCTCCTTCCTTTTCTGCCATTGCCCTTCTTGGATCCTGAGCGCTCTTCGGGGAAGGGTGGAAGGATCCATAGGGTTGACTGGCCAATGGACGTCTCGTGGTAAATTAGCTCTCTGGGCTGGAGGGGAAGAGGCACGTCCCTTCCCTTTCCCCTTCTGGCTGGTTGAGCCCTTGCTGCTACTCGCCAGACTGCCTGTTTGTCGCATATGTGAAACAGACTGGTGTGGATGTTGCTCCTTGTCCCCCACTGATTCAGCAGGTTTTGGACCAATATCCAGACCTGATGCAAGAGCCTACTGGACTCGTCCATAGGCAAACCCAACATAGGATTGAGCTCCTGCCAGGTGCGATCCCTCCCAAGGGCCGTATCTACAGGATGTCACCTGCTGAACTCGATGAGCTCAGGAGACAGCTTGAGACCCTGACCAGCAAGGGTTGGATCAGACCCAGCACATCTGAATTTGGGGCTCCAGTTCTCTTTGTTCCAAAGGGGAATGGAGAATTCAGGATGTGCGTCGACTATAGGGGTCTCAATAAGATCACTAGGAAGTCTACAAAGCCCCTTCCTAGGATTGATGATCTGTTGGACATGGTGCAGGGCTGCACGATTTTCAGCAAGATCGATCTCAAATCTGGCTATCACCAGATTGAGATGGCTGAAGGTGATGTCCAAAAGACTGCCTTTTAGACCAGATACGACACTTATGAGTACCTGGTCATGCCTTTCGGTCTTTGCAATGCCCCTGGCACCTTCCAGACAGAGATGCATCGCATACTTAGGCCTTACCTGGACAGGTTTGTAGTTGTGTACCTGGATGATATCTTGGTATTCAGTTGATCTGTCGAGGAGCATGCGCAGCATCTGGCTCTGGTTCTCCAGGCACTACATGAGGCCCAGTATAAGATCAACAGGGAAAAGTCCTCCTTTGGAATGACTTCTGTGACTTATATGGGACATGTAATCTCTGGGGAAGGGCTGGCTCCTGAAGCAACAAAGGTTGTTGCGATTCAGGACTGGCCACAGCCTACCACAGTACGTGATGTCCGATCATTCTTGGGTCTTGCTTCATACTACAGAAAGTTCGTCAATAACTTTTCTGCTATTGCTGCACCCCTGACTGACCTTATAAAGAAAGACACCCACTTTCTTTGGACATCAGACTGTCATCAGGCTTTCACACGCCTCAAGGAGGCCTTGATGCGAGCACCTGTTCTGAAGTTACATGACCCTACCCTGCCCTTCGTACTAACTACTGATGCTAGCCAGTATGGGGTTGGGCCAATACTTCAGCAGGATGGTGGGAATGGTCTGCAGCCCGTTGAGTATATGAGTAAGAAGATCAAAGTAAAGAAATTGCATGATTCTACGTACGAGAAAGAGTTGTATGCTCTAGGGTCAACGCTAAAGCATTGGAAGCATTTCCTCATGGGCAGACACTTTCAGATGTATTCCGATCACTCCACCTTACAGTGGATGAAGACCCAAGGGGAACTGAATGACAAGCTTGCGCGCTATATTCAGTTCATTGATCACTTTGACTTTGAACTGAAACACAAGAAGGGCTGCTACAATCGTGTGGCAAACGCCCTTTCTCGTAGGCCTGATGCTCCCTGTCTGATCTCCTCTACTCATAGTTTTGGGGAGAGCACCCGCCAGACCATTGCCCAATTATTGCCACAGGACCCGATTTTCGGCCCTATAGTCAGGAATCCGCAGACTGATCCTGCATCTGAACCAGGATATTTACTGGCTTTAGGTCTGCTGTATACTTGCAGCAGAGGAGAGGAGTGCCTGTGCATTCCCCAGGATCGCCAACTGAGAACATTCATAATGTCTGAGTGTCATGATGCACACGGCCACTTTGGGGCCCTTAAATCGTTGGCAGCCCTGTCGCAGCGGTTCTTCTGGCCAGAGATGAGGACTGACCTGCTGCATTATGTTGAAACCTGTGAGTTGTGCCAAAGGAACAAGGTTCTACATCGACCTCCCCTTAGCCTACTTCAGCCACTTCCCATCCCTGATGCACCTGCACAGTCAGTGTCTATTGATTTCACTGACCTGGGGAGGACTACTCCTCGTGGTATGCGTCAGGTCATGGTATGTGTGGACAAGTTCTCTAAATATGCAGAGTTCATCCCATTGCCAGAGGAAGCCAGAGTCCCGACGTCCAGGCGGCCTTTGCTGACCGGTGGGTTACACACCATGGACCACCCACCTCGATTGTCAGCGACAGAGATCCGCGTTTTTGCAGCAATGAATGGCAGTTCTATTGTAAGGACTACCTCCATTCTAGACTGAACATGACATCTGGTCGTCATCCTGAAGCCAATGGGCAAGCTGAGGTGAACTAGATTATCTTTCGATTTGTTGCGTCCTATGATCAGTCCTGATCAGCAGGATTGGGATCTCCATCCAGGACGGGCACAACTAGTGTACAATACATTTGTACACTTCTCCAGAGGGTTCACCCCCTACCGGTTGCACTGGGGACGTGAACCGCGGAAGCCTCTCGATGATCTTATCGATAAGGCTACCCCCAGACTGACGCCTGGGACCGCAGCGTTCACCAGACAGTACGAGAGGGATATCGAACGAGCCAGAGTTAACCTGCTCAAGCCCAAAAGGCTATGATTCAACAGGCTAACAAGCATCGTCGACCATCACCCATTCTCGCTGGTGACTAGGTCTGGGTACTCAGTTCTGAACTATCGCGGGAGGAGGACATTTCGCCCAAGCTGTTGCCGCGTTATATGGGTCCATGGCAGGTTTTGGATACAGTGGGAGTTTACCCTTTCGGGCCATCTTATCACGTGGACGTCCCATTGCATCTACAAACCTACCCTGTCTTTCATGCATCCAAGTTTCCAGACAGGCCTCCTCAATTTGGTCCCCCGATCCCTGGGAAGGGGTATGAGGTGGAATCTGTTGAGGACGAGTATGGTACAGGCCCGGATAAGAAGTACCTTGTGAAGTTTCTTTACCAGCCCCATACTGAGGATCACTGGTTTACTCGCAAGGAGCTTCTGAAAACAACAATGTCTATTATCCTCATAAATGAGGCTGCGCAAAGGGGAGAACCCCTGGGACGCTCTGCACGCCTACGCCCCTAGCTTGGAGGTCCTCGCTCCGGGGGAGGGTAGGTCTGCAATGACTTGCTGGTTCTAGGTTGCCTGTAGCCTCTCTCTGACGAGGCTATACCATAGGTAGGGAAAAATTCATAATTTTGTTTGGCTGAGGGCTAACAGAGAGACCTACCTGTACGGGAAATTTGTGAGGGACATATTTGTAAATATAGGAAATATGGGCCCAGGACTAACTCAAATTTCCTACAGCTACCCTAACTGCGAATACCAGACCCGGGCTACCCCTAGGATAGGCAGGCCCAATGGGCCTACGCTGATAGACGGTCCTATAGCCTATAGCCGGGTAGGGAGAGGCCCTAGAGGCCGAAACAGAAACGGTACCGGTCGGTCAGTCAGTCCGGTCTAGGTCGTGTCTAGGCTAGTTTAGGGTATAGATAGGATGGGAACATCGGTCCTGGGCTTTTGGCAGTTGACACTTCGTGGTGGAAGTTGCTGCGCACACTGTATCAGGTCGTGGTTGCTGATTCCGGTGGCGAGGACGGCAGACATTGCCAAACCTTCGGAGCGCTGACCAGACTGGGGTCAACGCTGTCCGCTCTGACTCTCTGGGAGTCAAGACGGTCTGGATTATCAGAGGTCTGATGCGTTGGAGCACGTGGTGCACTGCTGACCCTCCTCAGGAGTAGGGTCCGAGTGGCGATGCAGCCATAGCTGCATCTTCTCGGAGGATACCGTCGTCTGGACTTCATCTTCATCAGGGACTGTTGGCGCTGAGCTTCTTCTTCATTTGCTGGGTGGCGATTGACTCTGGGAGCCTGTTCCATCTTGGCGCAGGCCACTGAATTGGATGTCAGGGTGGCGCTGGGTGTTACCTGGGGTTCTGGGGCTATTTTTAGCTGTTCGGTGTGTGTGGGGTTGAGGCGCTACCCCTCTGAGGGTAGCGCAACAGGGTCTGAGTGTATTTAGTAAAAACGATGCTCTGAGTTTAATAAACAGTTGTAATACTGTGTTCGAGTTGTCATCTCCTCATTGATTTCTGGCCGTGATCACTCGGTTGTCTTCTATGAATGATTGTTGGGATTTGTGTGGAGAGAATTCACTGGGCTGTGTATTCTGTCACTTCGCTCCCCTGAGTCTTTCGCTGCGTTCCTTCTGTTGGGCGGTGTGACACTCCACTACCTCTCCCCTTCCTTCTGTGCATGTATGGGCGTGTACGGGAGTTCCTGTGAGTGAGCGTTGACAAAATTTCAACGGACAATCATGTTCATAACACTTGCAGCACGCCAGCTGGTTGAGTGGACGTGCGAGCCTCACTAAGCTGTGTCATACAGTTGGCCCAGGCCTTGGCAGTTGCGCCTGGGCACATACACAAAGCAGGGCCGAGACATCTTGAAGTTGTCACAGGCCTATGCAAAAGCAGTACTGTCGACGTACCTATCCCGGGGTCCTGTGCAGATGCAGCAAACGGCCCAAGTCTGGAGACTGAGGCCATGCCCAACTGTAAAGGGCCCAGGCCCTCAACTGTAGTCTCAGGTCTGGGCACAGGTACTGGGGCCCAACAGGAAGCTACTGGAAGCTTCCAGCCAGGCCACACGCAGCAACGCAGGGGCTGCCATTTTCATATAGGAAGAAGAGCAGCCAGGGCCAGGGTATTCTGGCCCGCGTAGGCAATGTGGTCACGCTGCTGTGCTGCTGCGTGAGAGGCTGCATGCTGCGTTGAAGCCAGAGCGCGTGCGGGCGCGTGAGTGGTGAAGTGGGGCGCTGCAGGGCAGCGGAGCGCTAGCAGCCATAGCCGGGCTGCAGGGCGCTAGGGGTTAAGAGGGCGATCGGTGGTCGTCAGGAAGGAGGCGAGTGTGGGTGAACAGGGTCCGATGAGGGGAAGCGAGATACGTACCTGGTACATGTAAGAGATCGGCTATGGTGTTGAGGTCTTTCACATTGGTCTTCGAGAGTGGAAGCGAGCCTGTTGCGAGAATGCTGATGTAAGTAAGATAGTCAGGTAGTGTAGGCTGGGCGCTGGGTGCCAGACAGAGAGGAGCGACTTTGGATACTGTGTTGGAGTGGCCTGAGGGCTTGGACATTGGCTCATTACTTCATTGTATTGCTGTTACTTGGATGGGATCTGGGTGCATTTGTGCTCTCTGCTTGTACACGACTACCTGGACATCTGTGTGATTTCGCAACTTGGTTTTCTGTATACCGTTCCCACTCATATTCCTTGCAAATGTAGCTCTTCCTTGGACTGGGATAATTTTCTCTTTTTCTTTTTCCCTCAAAGTGAGAATTTACTGGAATGTCGGGATGAGTGGAGAAGCAAGAAGATGGCCAGAGGGAGTGCAGCAATGGCTATGGTGGTCCTGATCAGCCAAATCAATGAAGACGCACCACAAAACCATATTCTTGGCTGATATTTTACTTGGAGGCTCAATTCGTCTGTTCCATCACGAATACAGTTAAGGACTTCAGTTGCAGCACTAGTGCACTCGTTGGAGCAGCCTTCAGTATTCCTGAGCTCGTTAGAACAGGCTTGAAGTACTTGCATAATTGTCTGTAAGGGAAATAGTCACCAGGTAAGTCAATTTCTCTAAAGTCAGTCCCAGCTTAAACCAGAAATCCAATGCCCAGCAATAGAGGAAAGAAAGAAAGAAAGAAAGAAAGAAAGAAAGAAACAAACAAACAAACAAACAAACAAACAAACAAACAAACAAACAAACAAACAAACAAAGAAAGAAAGAAAGAAAGAAAGAAAGAAAGAAAGAAAGAAAGAAAGAAAGAAATTTAGTGCCACAAGAAAGACAAAGGAAAGTCTGGAGAGAAATGGGCCCTTTAGTTGCAGATAGTCCATCGGTGCCTGCCAACACCAGAGTGGTTAATCTCTCGATATACCCTGGAACAGAAAGGAATCTTATCTCCAATATGCTTGCACTGCGGGCCGGGGGAAACACGCCAGCAAGCAGACTTGGGACACTGCCTGCTTGCATGCGCCATGGCTCTCCAAATCTGGCAATGGTGGGATGCCTTGTGGCAGTACCTGTCTGATCAGCCATTCCAGTGGGACATCTGCCTTATTTTGCTGGGCAGAACAAAATATTAGTAGGTTACCCATCATCTTGGTCAACCTTCCAATTTAATCTGTTCAACCACACACTGCTCGCTATCCTTATGGCATATGGAGAACGCATTCCTCAGCAGAGTGCCAGGAATTTGCCTTTGGACTCCCTCAGGTCAAAACAGAAATAGTAGAAGTCATTAAAGCCAACCTGGTTAGAGCCTATAAAAAGTTAAAAGACGACCTGAGGGCAACCACAGATCAGGACACCCGGCAACAGGCTCGTGACACCTTCCATATCCGGATAGACCCTCACAGGAAAATTGCTGACATACAGACAACGACGAAATTGGTGTGGAAAAACTGGGTGGCAAGTGAAGCCCAATGGAACTTCCGCTATGAAGATTGCTTCTTCACCCCGATCAAAGGTTGCAATACAAACGACGTAGTAGAAGACAGAGCAGCATGCATTCGCTCTCCCAGCCCTGCCCTACACTCACCTTGGCCCACATCACCATCCCTCCCCATCCCGCTCAGTCCCTGGGACCCCTCATCCACCCCCTCTCCCGCCTCGCCCTCCCTCTGTCCCCCAGCCCTGACACACACATCTCCCGTTCCACCTCCCATTCTAAACATGGCCAGACAGACTAACTACCTAACCTTGTTACCCAACACTCTGAACAACAAGACAGAGGAAACTGGGGGCAGAAGTGGAATTTCTATAGTATTAGTAGACAGCGTGGGTTATCGTACCCCCTAATATGCGTCTTATGGCAAATTTGTACACATATTAGAGATAGTTTGAGGAGATTGGCTTACTCATCTTGTTACAAGCTCTGCTCGCTAAGGCTGTATCCCATCTGTATGTCTATACACTCTCATAAACTCTCCCCCACATGAAGCCTAAACTGGGTAATGACCACGGCTAGTGGTTCTTTAAAGCACCAGTGCATGGCCCCAGCAAAGTTGAGAGTCCGATTGAGCCTCTCCTAAAATTTTGGAGGCTCAATAAATCAACGGCATGCGGCCTCCAAAACGCGCCCACGGCCGATGGCTGACATGTACTGGTGGTTTAAAGCTGTATTTGGGACGCTGGACCCGGTTTCCAGCAGCTGTAGCTCCCCACCAATAGATTGGAGCAGCCCCTGGCCATCCTACTAGAGGAGAATGCTCTTACCATCTCCTCTAGTACAGTGAAGAGGGATTAAAAGAAAAAAAAAGAAAAAGAAAGGAAAGTTAGAAAAGATAGAAAGAAGGAAAGAAAAAGCTTTACAAAAGAAAGAAAGAAGCAAAGAAAGAAACTTCAGAAAAGAAAGAAAGAAAGCAAGAAACTTTACAAAAGAAAGAAAGAGTGACAAATGCAATGATCCAAAACAGATCCGACATCAACCTCCAAACATGCATCAACCCAAAAGTCGACAGAAAGCTCACACAGCACAAGAGACATGGCAATTAGCCCAAAGGCCCCAAACAGAATTGATTGTCCCCAGAACATCAGAATTACGCATGTTCCGAGGATATCTTACAAGCTGTTATGGCCGCTATCACTGTCCAAACCACACAAGTTACTCTCACTCAGATCTCTCTCTCTCTCTCTCTCTCTCTCTCTCTCTCTCTCTCTCTCTCTCTCTCTCTCTCTCTCTCTCTCTCTCTCTCTCTCTCTCTCTCTCTCTCTC